ACCAGTTATACTATAAATTAAAGCCCGCCTACCAAGGCCACCATTCTCGTAACATGTACTCAATGCGAAAGCCATGGGAGGGTCCTGTTTGCTGCCATGTACTGGCATCAGGAAAGGAAAATTACCGATAGGTAAGTATACAATTTTCCGTTTTCCTGACACCGTACATGGCAGCATACAATGGGATATAGCGATCACACAAACAGGGAGGGTAATTCTGAGATAATAAATTATTTGTACCACATGCAGAACCAACTTCCCCATGGATCTTCCTTCTGGATAGACCCTGTAGAAGAACATATACAGCACTACTTGTAGATTCCAAGGGAAAGAAGAGACTCTTCTGAAGAGTGAATCCTCGTGCAAGTCCATAAGAGCTGGCTTATCAATCAATGAGCTACTCATTGTGTCTCAGAGGATGAATAGAGGGTACTGACACCCAAGTACATATTGCTTGCCTGAAGAAAGTCCAACATGCCTGTCATGGCAAGGTGAAGAGAGACCAAACCTATTAAGCTTGCAAAGTCTATGAAATTATTCCACACTGTAGAATATATGTGATGTTGAGTAGGTGCTACATTATTCAACAAACACTCTGACTGTAGATGAGTAATCCAGGAAAGGAAGACTTCACTTCCAACCTCCAAGCCACTTAAGGTAGTTCTGGATGTGTTTGGATGTAGCAACTGCTGTAGAAGGTCTGAATATTAAGGATGACTAGAAGATTCCGGGGTCAGAGACAACCAGAGAGGGAACCCTGGACAGATGGGCCACAAGCAAATGATTTCCATCACCGAACCTGGATAATTGTGGGTGCCATTTAGGAACCTGAATCCATTTGGACTGAGGAAACATATATGCAATAGAATATCCATTACTCCATTATCCATTTCTACTTCCTTAGAATGTTCTCTTGACAAGGAGTGTTTGCACTTTGTGCTCTTAGGCATTACCATCAGGATGAGATCTGGATAACTCGCTTGCTGCTGATCCACAGGAAACTGCTGGAAAAGAAAACATTAATTGTCATAAAATATGTGGGGTAACCTGAAGAGGGCTGTGCACAGGTGATGTTCCCGCAATCAAACAAATTTGGAGTGCTTTTGGAAGGAAGGGTGAGCAAATATTCCCAAGGCAAGATGTGCTATGCTGATAGACTCCTACCCCAAAAGACTGAATGTTGTCATAAAATCAAAAGGTGCTTCAACAACATATTAATTTAAGGGTGTGCATATTTATGTAACCAAATTATTGTTTTTTAGTTTTATGTTTTCTAACTTTAAAAATATTTGTTTGTTTTTTATTGGATTGCACAGATTATAGGCCACATTGAAGGGGGAAAAATTATGAAGTGATTTATCTTTGTCTGATTTGTTTACGAGTCAAAAATGTAGCTTTTTTATGGGGTTGTGTAAACTTATTATATATTTACAGTTGATTTTTGCTACTGACAGCACTGCTTGCGACTGTACTGCAACAGAGGTCCACTGACTGTCACTGCACCAATTAACTTTTCACTGACTGTATTGTTGCCTACTGATTTTAGTTCAGAATGTCCCATTGCACACCAGACCAGAATCTCCATACATGTATTCTAGTGGGTGCTGAAATGGCCTAAGGATGGCACTCTGTAGATCAAGCTATATGAAGATGAGCCACCAGCACACCGAGGATTCACTGTACTGTTCCATCTTTATTCAACATCAGACAAATATGGTATCACATGCAATGTTTCGGAACCATTAATCAATTCCTTCATCAGGCAAAACAGAGTGACAAACACTGTGTCACTGTTTTGTCTGATGAACCAATGAATGGTTCCGAAATGTTGCATGTGATACTGTAAAGGAAAAATGGCAGCCGCACATGCGCTCACAACACAACACTTAATCTCGGGAAACGTGCCATAGTGCACAGGCACGCGCAAATGGAAGTGCGTGGGAAGATGCGCAAACGGCTTGTGTGCAGGAAGTGATGCTGTTGCCTCAATAGGTGACTATACAAAAACCAGTCTGCCTTCACCACAATGCTGATGGTCTTGTCAGCCTATGCTTCCTGTTGCCTGTGTCTCTGTTGGATTGCCTATGACCTGTTTGACCTGGATTGCCTTGAACTACCTTTCTGCTTGCTGCTTACTCCTGACCTCGGCCATGTTCTCTGGACTTGCTCTTGCCTTCTGATTTTGTAGCGCTGCTTAGTTGGCTCTGACCCTTGGCCTCAACCATGATTCCAGTATCTCGGGTCTGCTCCTACGCTGCCCATCCAGTTTGACCTTTGGCCTGCTGACCTCTCTTCAAGACGTCTCCAGCACGGTGCCTGCTTCCAATCCGTGGCACTCGTGTTCCTCGCTGTCCTGCAACCTTCTGTTCCAAACTCCAGGGGTTGTAGGACATGAGTCGCAAGAGACGCCTCCCCATCTTCCAGTCTCTTCATCAGCTACGTGATAGATACCATGTTTGTCTGGCAGTGAGTGAAGAGCAAACGATAAAGTGGACCCTCTGTGTGCTGGTTTCCATACCACACTGTTCCTTCGATACATACAATCACTGCACCCATTCACTGCCCCACAGACCATCACAGTACTTCTTGAATTACCACCATACATGTAGTGGCACGCTATATACCACAAACTGCTGCTTACATAGTACATTCATACACCACAAACTTTCTTAGGCATTTCCCCCATTTATTAAACAGCCACACTTTTGCTAATACAGTTTCAAACGAACAATTGTGTTGTTCTTATAAAGGGGGAATATTTTTGTTTGAGATAACACATTTTGTTTATTCCCCAGACATTGTAATAAATAAGTCCATCATGTGTCTTTTTCAAAATCAGCAGATAGTGAAAACTGCATAAGATGCCCTGATGAAGAATGGCCAAATAAGAAAAAGGATCAGTGTTTTCCAAAGCTGGTGGAATTTCTGTCCTACACTGATGACGCAATTTCTGCAGTATTGTCCGCTGTCTCCATACTTTTTTGCCTTCTGGCTGGTTTAATATTGGGGATATTTGTACATTACCAGGACACTCCCATTGTTAAAGCTAATAACCGGAACCTTAGCTATCTTCTCCTGGTCTCCATCATGCTGAGCTTCCTCTGTGTCTTCTTGTTCCTCGGCCATCCAGTAGATGTAACCTGCATGCTGCGTGTAACCTCTTTTGGTGTCATCTTCTCAGTTGCTGTCTCTTCTCTTCTTGCCAAAAGTATCATGGTGTGTATTGCTTTTAAAGTCACCAAACCTGGGAGTTCCTGGAGGAAATGGATGGGAGTCAAATTGTCCAATTCTATCATGTCTGTGTGTTCACTTATTCAAGTACTAATATGTGTCACTTGGTTGTCTATTTCTCCCCCCTTCCAGGATAGAGACATTTACACTTATCAAGAAAAGATAATTATTCAGTGTAATGAGGGTTCTGTTATTGGCTTCTACTCTGTCCTGGCATATATGGGGCTTCTGGCAGCTGTGAGCTTCATTATAGCTTTTTTAGCCAGGACATTACCGGACAGTTTTAATGAGGCCAAGTACATCACCTTCAGCATGCTGGTGTTCTGCAGTGTCTGGATTGCCATGATACCGGCCTATCTGAGCACTAAAGGGAAAGACACGGTGGCTGTACAGATTTTTGCTATAATGGCTTCAAGTGCTGGACTTCTTGGTTGTATATTTTTTCCAAAATGTTACATCATTCTCTTTAGACCTGACCTGAATACAAAAACAGATTTACTTATAAGCAGAGCCAAGTGATTTTATTATTAATTGTAAACAAAATGAAATAAACTCAATTTGGCAGTAAACTGCATAATAATATTATTAGCATTTTTTTATAGCAATATAGTTTCACATACTTGTATATTGCTTTAAATAGTTGGTGTTTTCTTTATAGATGTTTATTTGATTAAAATCATAAAGCTGGATTGCCATTTTTTAAAATAATGTAGCAAGCATTTTTTATAGTTTTACATTTTACTGATCAAATAAAATATAAAATAAAAATACAATTAGGGTTCTATTAAGAAAGAACTCCCTGTGATTGGCACAAAGCAAATGTGGAAGAAGTTCACTGGGTAACTACAGGCCTGTCAACTTGATGGCAATAGTGTGCAATATATTTGAAGGCATGATAAGAGAATATATGCAGGAATTTGCAAAAAAAAAAATGGTATCATAAGAGGTAACCAACATGGTTTCATGGAGGATCATTCTTGCCAGACCAATCTATTAACATTCTATGAGGAAGTCAGCATTAATCTAGACAGATGAATACCAGTACACTAGATGTGGCGTATCTGCACTCTGCTAAAGCATTCGACACATTACCCCACAAAATGTACTTAATAAACTTAGGTCTATCGGGTTGGATGAAATTATATGTACATTAGTAGAAAATTGACTAAAAGAACGGACGCAAAGGATAGTAATACATGGGTTATTTTCTAATTGGGCAAAGGTTGTGATTGGGGTGCCTAAGGGTTCAGTCCTGGGAGTGATCCTGTTCATCTTATTCATCCACGAAATAGAGATTGGATTAAAAGTTTTGATTTAGTTTTTTGCGGATGATACAAAACTGTCTAGGGCAGTAGTTTCCGAACAGGAGATAACTGCACTTCAACAGGACCTTAACAAAACTGAGGCCTGGGCTACAAGATGGCACATTTTATGTTGAAAAAGGTAAGGTTATGAACATGGGAGCAAAGAACATGTGCGCAAACTACTACCTGGGGCAGGGGCAGACTGGGCCGGGGGGGGCAGGGTGGCAATTGCCCCCGGGCCTCTCTGGTGGCTGTAAAAATGGCCCCTGCCGGCGCAGCGGAAATCGTTTTTTCGTTTCTCTCCCCTCTCTGCTCCTGCAGCGGCCGAGGACGAGAAGAAGCTCTTCAGCTGCCTGTGATGATTAGACCGTGTAGTGCTCGAGCTCCTCTGCAGCTCCCTCCGCCCACTTCTTCTGCTATTGGCTGGGAGGGAGAATGCACTCCTACTGGCTGTCTGCCTGGGTCCTAAAGGGAGGACAGCAGGAAGTGATTGGAATCACCTGAAAACATGCAGGCGACCTCGCTGCTCCTCCCACCCACCCCCACCAACAGAGGAGAAGAAGATGGCACAGCACCTGAAACAGGAGAGGAAAAGAGTCACTGTAAGTCCCTGTTCTTTTTGTGTGACCTCTGCACTGCGTTAAATGCTGACTGCTGCACTGAGTTACTGACTTCTGAACTGCATTACATGCTGACTGCTGAACTGCGTTACTGACCGATGCACTGCATTACATGCTGACTTCTGCACTGCGTTACTGATCGTTGTACTGCTTTACTGACCGCTGACCTCACCACTGCGTTACATACTGACCTCTGCACTGCGTTACATACTGACCTCTGCACTGCATTACATACTGACCGCTGCACTGCATTACATACTGACCGCTGCACTGCGTTACATACTGACCTCTGCACTGCGTTACATGCTGACCTCTGCACTGCGTTACATGCTGACCTCTGCACTGCGTTACATGCTGACCTCTGCACTGCGTTACATGCTGACCTCTGCACTGTGTTACATACTGGCCGCTGACCTCTGCACTGCGTTACATGCTGACCTCTGCACTGCATGACATACTGACAGCTGCACTGCGCTACATGCTGACTTCTGCACTCCGTTACATGCTGACTGCTGCACTGCGTAACATGCTGACCGATGCACTGCGTTACATGCTGACCTCTGCACTGCATTACATGCTGACCGCTGCAATGAGTTACATACTGACCGCTGACCTCTGCACTATGCATGAGTTACATACTGACCTCTGCACTGCGTTACATGCTGACCTCTGCACTGCGTTACATGCTGACCTCTGCAATGTGTTACATGCTAACCTCTGCAATGCGTTACATGCTGACTGCTGCACTGCGTAACATACTGACCTCTGCACTGCATAACATACTGACCGGTGACCTCTGCACAGGGTTACATACTGACCGCTGACCTCTACATTACACAGCTGACCTCTGCACTGCATTACATGATGACTGCTGCACTGCGTAACATACTGACCGCTGACCTCTGCACTGCATTACATACTGACTGCTGCACTATGTTACATATTGACTTCTACACTACACCACTGACCTCTGCACTGTATTACATGCTGACCTCTACATTACACCGCTGCACTGCGTTACATACTGACCTCTACATTAAACTGCAGATGCCTGCACTGTGTGTCACTCTGCAGACTTCTGCACTGTGTGTTATTACTGACCTTTGTACTGTGCATACATCACTGAGCACTGCAGTATGCGTTAGACCGCTGACCTCTGCACTGTGCTTCACACCACTCACCTCAGCACTGTGCGTTATTACTTGCCTTTGTACTCTACGTCACACTGCTGACCTCTGTACTGTGTGTTACACCACTGACCTCTGCATCACACAGCTGACCTCTGTACTGTGCGTTACACCACTGACTTCTGTACTCTGTGTTACAGCGCTGACTTCTGCACTGTGTGTTATGCCACTGACCTCAGCACTGTGCATTACACCACTGACTTCTGCACTGTAAATCACATTGCTGACCCCTGCACTGTACATCACACCGCTGCCCCCTGCACTGTACATTACACCGCTGCCCTCTGCACTGTACATTACACCTCTGCCTCTGCACTGTGCATCACACCTCTGACCTCTACACTGTACATCACACCGCTGACTTCAGTACTCTGTGTTATAAACTCTTCACAGAAAACGCAAAAGGGGAGCGGAGCAGGACTGGGTGCGCATGCTGGGTGGCAGAGTCTTAGCTAGTGTTATTACACATGATTTCTGACACCTACAAAGGCCTTCAAACCAAAGGCCTTCAAATGCACTGATACCAGTATTGGTGATTGTGCCCTGATACTAAAAATTGATACCGGCGCTTTCATTTTTCAAAAGTCACAGAACTACCAGGGTTGCAGCGGTCATGTAGCACACTGACAAGGCATCCCTCCACTACCAATGTGCTATAATTTTGCTCAACCCAGAAATGTCACTTATAGGTGCACATGTGCATGAAGAAAGGGGGTCATGAAAACATCTGATTCAAATGACTTGGCCCCACCGTAATTGATGTGGTCGAGAAAATGTATGGGGTCGAGAAAAATTAGAGAACACTGACTTTGACACTGTCTGGTTCTTCCCAACAGCTTACAGCCTAGAAGTCCGGTGGCCCACAGTGGGTGAGAGTGCCTAAGTACCGGACATGGAGCGGAACCATGCAGGGAGCCCAGTATCCCATCCCCCAGCCAGTCACCCCTTTCATGGACTGACTAGTGAGTTCTCACATCACCCCGACCATTCACACTACCGTAACATGGATGGCAAAAGTGGGAGACAGGGGCGGGGCTAAGAGGCAAAGCAAGAGGTGGGCCAAGCCGCTGCACCATGCGCCTCTGGGTTTTACTTGCCCCCTGAGCTAAAAGTTGCCAGTCAGCCCCTGCTACATTAGAGAAGTCAGACATGGAAAAAGACCCGGGGGTCTTTAGACCGGGGGTGCTCATAGATCACAAATTTGGCAATAGTAAGCTCCTGCTCCTGGCCGCCAAGGAGAGAAACAGTGCTATGTCTTTTTTTTTCTTTATTCTGACACGGAGCGATGTCAGAATAGGAAAAAAATGAATAAAAAATTCTCATTGGAATGCATTGCTACATTCCTATTGGCTATTTCAATTTGCAATAGCCAATAGTAAACTAGCATTGTAGCCGCCCTCTGCTGCAGTTCTCCATCAGGTCCATCAGCAGAGGGCGGGTACAATGCTAGTTTACTATTGGCTGTTGCAAATTTATATAGCCAATAGGAATGTAGCAATGCATTCCAATGGGAATTTTTTTTTTCCTATTCTGACATTGCTCCGTGTCAGAATAAAGAAAAAGAAAGACACATCAGTGTTTCTCTCCTGGGCGACCGGGAGCGGGAGGCTCCCAGAGCACCCGGGAGCACCCGCTCAGCGGCATTCGGCTATTCACTCACTGCTGTTCGGCATCTATAAGAATAGGATCTGCCCTTGGCAGCTTAGTGAATAGACCCAAATGTGATTTGGATTTTAGAGATCTCAGACCTGTGGAAAAGTCACCATCATGCTTCACTGCCCCCAATTTGTGCTTTCACTAACCCAAATGTTTTCCCAATATTATGGTAACAATTTCTGCAAATCAATTTGTTTTCCTATGTGCATCTCAGAATTCAAAATATGCAATGCTATCTATCAGCGAGAATAATATTTAGGGTTTTTTTTCACTAAAGAGCCGAAGGATGTAGCCGAACGCTTGGCTAATCCTATGGCTCTCTTCGGTTGCAGGAACCCTTTAGTTCAGCGGAACCGAAGGGCTGCTGTACACGCTATTCACTATAGCGTGTACAGCAACCGAAGGCAGCTGATGCACACAGCCAAGCCGAACGCATATGCTTTGGTTTGGCACAGCTGAAGACAGTCTAAGGGGTCTATTCACAAAGCTGCCGAAGGATCTGGTAGCTTCGGCCGATCCTTCGGCTGGCTTCGGCCCCAGGACCCCTTCGGTTCAGGAGAACCGACGGGGTGCTGTACGGGCTATTCACAATAGCCCAGAGAACGGTCTACCAAAGCAGAACAACTCTCCGCTAGGTGTTAAAAAATACATTTTAAAGAAAATGGTGCAGGATCCCACTTGCAAATCATACCAGACTCTTTAGGTCTGGTAGGTATGTTAGGAGGGACCCACCGATGTAGAAGTAAAAAAAATGTGGCGTTCCCCACAAAAGTCATACCAGACCCTTTAGTTCTGGTAAGAATTTTAAGGGGGAAAAGAACACCCCCAAAAAAGGGGGGAAAAAGTGGAGTCACCCCTAAAATTCCCAACCAGACCCTTAATCTGAGCACTGGCCTGGCAAAGCAGGGAAGGGGGGTATGAACGAGTGGCTCCCCTCCCTGCACCATACCAGGCCACATGCCCTTGGCATTGGGAGGGTGCTTTCCAATGTGGGCCCCCTGAAAAAGCACCTTGTCGCCATGCCGATGAGAACAAGGGCTTCTTTCTCACAGCCCTGGCCCGGTGGTTGTGGGGGTCCGTGGGCAGGGGGGCTTATTTGCCTCTTGGTACCCCTTTTCATAAAGAGGAACCCAGATGCCACCCCCCTTGCGAATGAGTAAGGGATAGTTGTTACCCATACTCATTCACCAAAGAGTGAAGTCAAATGTGAATAAACAGTCAACACCTTGGAAAAATCCTTCAATGGAACAAAAAACACAGAGTTTTTGACAATTTCTTTATTGTAAAAAAATAAAAACCCAAAAAATCAACCAATGCTGCAATCCATGATCCATCACGTCGTCCAGCAGTGAAATCCAACATGAATCATGATGAACGATGCCTTCCAACTCGCCAAAAAAAAAAAGGCACATGGTCCCCTACCAGACACTTTAGAAATGTTAGGAGAGACCTACCGATGTAAAAAAACATGCATGGAGTTCTCCCCAAAAGTCATACCAGACCCTTTTGCCCAAAAAATTAAAAAAAAGTGGGGTCCCCCTAAAATTCCCAACCAGACCCTTAATCCAAGCATTTGGCCTGGCAGGGCAGGAATGGGGGATGAGCAACCGCATCCCCCCTCCCTGCACCATATTATGGGAGGGTGCTTTCTGGGGGACCCCTAGAAAAGCACCTTGTCACCATGCCGATGAGGTCAAGGGCCTCTTTCCCACAACCCTGGCCCAGTGGTTGTGGGGGTATGTGGGCAGGGGCTTATTTGCATCTGGGTACCCCTTTTCATAAAGGGGGCACCCAGATACCACCACCCCTTGTGAATGAGTAAGGGATAGTTGTTACCCCTACTCATTCACCAAAGAGTCAAGTCAAATGTAAATAAACAGACAACACCGACATTTTTAAACCAAAAATTAAAAAATGTCAGGCCTTAGAAAAAATCCTTTAATTGAACAAAAAACACCAACACAATTTTTGACAATTCCTTTATTGTCAACAAAAAAATTGTCCAATGCTGCAATCTATGGTCAATCACTTAGTCCAGCGATGTAATCCAGCGTCAAAAAGTCCCGACGGCCCCGCATCCATATGCACCCAATGAGCTCCCACCGTCAAATGACAGATTTCACAGTTCCACTCACTAATGTTGTGGTGTCCCTGGACTCACTCTGCCCATTTGTTTTCATGCCATTGCAGGTCAGTGAGCTGTCATGCCATGGAAACAAATGGGCGAGTCGTGAGGTCATGACTTGCTCTGCCCATCTGTGTTTTTTTTTCATTTGTCAGCCAATGCTGGAATGACTTCGTGGGACATTTTTTTTTTTTTTAAATAAAGGAATTGTCAGAAACTGATGGTGTTTTTTGTTCAATTAAAGCATTTTTTTCTAAGGTGTCTGTTTATGTACTTTTTAATTAACTCTTTGATGAATTAGTAGGGGTAACAACTACTCCTGACTCATTCACAAGGGCGGATGACATCTGGGTGCTTGCTCATCCCCCTCCCCCTTTTCTGCCCTGCTAGGCCAGTGCTTGGATTAAGTGTCTGGTTTTGACATTGGGTTCCCCCTTAAAATTCCTAACAGGCCAGACCTGAATTTGTGGGGGAACCTCACACATTTTTTTACATTGAGCTAAAGGGTCTGGTATTAATTGGGAAGGAGACTCTGCTCTGTTTTTTTTTGTTATTATATTCTTAACAACTTGCAAGGGATTCGGTCTTTTCTGGACCCCAGTTCCTATGTTTTGGTGCATAGTTGAGTAACTTAGCCTTGTTTCTACATCAGAGGCATGGGTTTTTGGCAGCAAGGCTGCAGAAAAAATGGAAGCAGGTTCTCTGGACTGATGAGTCAAAATAGTAAATATTTGGTTGTAGCAGGAGGCAGTTTTTTCACTGAAGGGCTGGAGAGCGGTACACTAATGAGTGTCTGCAGCAACAGTGAAGCATGAAGGAGGTTACTTGCAAGTCTGGGGCTGCATTTCTGCCAATGTAGTTGGAGATTTGGTCAGGATCAAAGGTGTACTCAATGCTGAGAAATACAAGCAGATAATTATCCATCAATTTTATTTTATTTTTGGTCAGTAAAAACTAAAACTATGGGAAAGCAACAGTTACTGTACTTTATTTTCAAAATACCAATCCAGAAAACACAATTTAAAGTCAATTTTATAAAGCTCACATCTACTGAAAAGTTAAATAATACACTGCTTATAAAGCATATATAGGTGGTACTACATCACCTAAAATATTATTATACTATTCTAATATAGTTTACAGATGATTTACATTAATTTTTATTTAGTTAACAAAATAAAAGGAAATTACTTTGTTTTGTTTCCAGAAAAACTTATTTTTGTATTCAGATCAGGTCTTAATAAAAGGATATAGCATTTTGGAAAAAATATACAGCCAAGAAGTCCAGCACTTGATGCCATTATAGCAAAAATCTGTACAGCCACCGTGTCTTTCCCTTTAGTGCTTAGATAGGCCGGGATCATGGCAATCCAGACACTGCAGAACACCAGCATGCTGAAGGTGATGTACTTGGCCTCATTAAAACTGTCCGGTAATGTCCTGGCTAAAAAAGCTATAATAAAACTCACAGCTGCCAGAAGTCCCATATATCCCAGGACAGAGTAGAAGCCAATAACTGAACCCTCATTACACTGAATGATGACCTTTTCCTGATAAGTGTAAATGTCTCTATCTTGGAAGGGGGGAGAAATAGACAACCAAGTGACACATATTAGTACTTGAACTAGTGAACACACAGACACTATGGAATTGGATAATTTGGTACCCATCCATTTCCTCCAGGAACTCCCAGGTTTGGTGGCTTTAAATGCAATATACACCATGATACTTTTGGCAAGTAGAGAAGAGACAGCAACAGAGAAGATGACACCAAAACAGGTTACACGTAACATGCAGGTTACATCTACTGGACGGCCGAGGAACAAAAACACAGAAAGGAAGCTCAGCATGATGGAGACCAGGAGAAGATAGCTCAGGTCACGGTTATTAGCTTTAACAATGGGTGTGTCCTGGTTATTTACAAATAATCCCAATATTATACCAGTCATAAGGCAACCTAAAATAGAGACAGCTGAACATGCTGCAGCAATTGTATCATCAGTGTAGGAGAGAAATTCCACCAGTTTTGGAACACACCGATTCTTCTTCTCATTTGGATATTCTTCATCAGGACATCTTATGCAGTTTTCACTGTCTAAAAAACACAAAAGGAGTATTTATTTAACGTTGCTCCACAGTTTTCAAATGTAAATATCTGCTTGGGTGCTATGAGAGCAGTAAAAAATAATTTTTCTACATAATTTAATACATTTAGTGGGGGTGGTCAGATACCAGTTCAGATACCAGTGCCGATAATTAGCATTTTCACAAGAACTACCAGGGTTGAAGCTGGGACCTAGCTCTGGCGCTTCACCACTGTCCTGTAATCATTAGTCTGTATTGTTTTAGAAAAACTGTCACATGGCAATAAACAAATATGTATCAGTATTTGTATCTGTGAGTACTTGGACAAGTATCAGTACTCGTACTTGAAAAAATTGTATCAGTGCATCACTTATATATATATTTTAGAAAAAAAATCATACAATAGAACAGGGATGCACAAATCCCAGGAGCTCCGTGTGCTCCTTTAAAAGGACAGCTGCCTCCTAACTTGAATTTTTCTCTAGTCTAGTCTTGGAGCTGAAAAGGTATCTGTACATGTACTTGTACCGAGTATGGTACTTGGTATCTGAACATCCCTAAAATTGAGTAACTGTGCTTTTTTCGGTGTGAGTATGTGGTGCCAGAGGGACATTTAAAAATCATGAAACGAGAATTGTCATTACATTAGAATAAAAAATGAAGGAACCACATCAGGCATATCACAGGTACAACAAGTCATAAAAGTGAGTTTGGGTTTTCACATGACTCATAAACTGTATTTTCTAGAGTGCATGTACAGTGTGTCAATGGGAAATTCTCTAAATGTTTACACCAGCAAAGTTTCAAAAGTGAGAGTTGACTCTCTGCAGACCAAGCCCAGTTGCTTTTCTGGAGATCAAAGATCTTTTCCCCCCTTTTTTCCCATTTCACAAGTGGCTCCTTGTTCAAATCATGGTTTTCAGTTCTTAGACAAAAAGGGCAAATGTACTCACTTTATCTAAATCTTGAATAACTAACCATGCACTACGTAAATTGGTAACAATTACCATAATCCAATTTAGGTGAGATGGCAATTTAGACTGGGCGAAAATGTAAATATTCCTTCTAAGATAGTGGGAAAGTCACATATTCAACTACAGATCTGAAAGTATGCATTTGAGTACTCTGAACTGGGTCAATAATACCCCAAAATAAAAATGTATATATAGCAGAAATCTAGTTTGAGGTGCCAAGCCAGCTATACATGCTGCCTGATAGCTCCACAGCAAGGGGATAGAAAACATTTGACCCCCCTTACCATGTTGATACCTGGCCACATGCTCTTCAGTGCACCATTATAATGCTCTTAGTGCTCCATGGCACTCCCATTGCCCAGGAAAGCATGTTGGCAAGAGAAACAGAGTTTCCACCTTTTTTAACTCTTAAACTGAGCCAAAAAACTAAGGGTGATCTCATCACTGGACACTGTTTACCTATGGGTTTTTTCTTTCTTTTTTAGGATCTTATGCGGGAGGAAACCTTCCAGCGGACAGTTTTTTCTGGCTGATTGAACCTGGAATGTATCTGATAGCTAAATTAGGAACATCAAAACCCTTTTAAGTGTGTCAGTTTACTTTGTTTCACTTCCACCATGTTTTACCACCATGGGGTATGATAGATTTGCACTGATGCACACTTGTTTAGTTAGAACTAGGGATGCACCGATACTAGTATCGGTGCCAATACCAAGTATTTGGCGAGTACGAGTATTCTGATACTTATCCCAATACCGGAACTTCCTTTGTTGTTTGGCCAACTCGATGCTGATTGGCTGGCCAGGTGGTTTCCCGGCCACTCAGCATTGAGCTCGCCAAACAGCATGGAGCCAGCTTCCTGGCCAATCAGAAAGTCAGGCCTCAGGTAATAACCCGCCTCCAGACATCCTGATTGGGTGGGGTGTTGGCTTCCTAGCCAATTAGCATTGAGCCAGACAAACAGCATGGAGCCAGTTTCCTGTACAATCAAGAAGCCCCGTGGCGGGTAATGACATGCTTCCCAGCTTCCTGATTGCCTGGGAAGCCAGTTCCATGCTACCGGAAATACCGGTATCAGTGAGTACCGAAATTTAAATATCGGTACTCATACTCAATACTGAAAAAACGGTATCGGTACATATTCCTACTTAGAACACATTTCATGTAGTGCACTTTCCCCCAAAGAATCTCTTTGAGCTGTAGGAACATTCTGGGTGCAGGCTTGGGGCAAAAAGCCATCTAGTGAATTGTAAGGGAGAGAAAGAGAGGTAGGAAATAGATGGAAGGAAAGAGACAACCTAAAGCAGTCCAATAAGGATCAAAGAGTCCAAATAGAAAAAGAGGTATATGTAATGAAGAAATTTAGAGTAATATATGCAGGACCAAGTGACAGAACTGCAGAAGATCCCCCCATACAATAATTGCATTGTGGAAATAGAAAAAGGGATTCTTAAAAGAAATAACCCACAAAATGTGATGGAAACTGTATTTGTCCTTTTGACCATTCTCACCAAGACAGAAACTGAGCAATAATCCTTCATTTTAGAGTCGTCTTCAAAACAAAAGGTGAATGTAAATCTTCCAATAGGGACACCTGTTCTAGTGACAACTATCTAATTGGAGACTACACCTCACTTTGGAGAGTTTCCTCTCACTTTGGCAGAAAAGACACAGACCTCAACATTGAAACTGAATACAGTAAGCTCTGAAGATGGGGGTTTAAACCATGAAACGCATTAGCTAATATCCACCATCACATGCTGAAGGGTCTCTTCATCTTCTTTGTTCCATACTTGGGTTATTGATCACCAATTGTTTGCTGATGTTATCTGGACTGAACATGTGTGTAGAATTTGTCTGCCCATACACTGCTCTATTTTTCTCGTTCAATCCATGGGCTGAATGAATAAAATAGAGCAGATTCCTTCATCAACTCTACCAATGTGTCAATCGAGGAATCCCCGCTGTTTGCATTGTATTCTGACAGTGGCCGCTGGCTCTGGTCAAATGGAGATTTTCCAGCCGGCTCCTTCAATCAGCTTATCGAGGGATGCCAGCCGAAAGGGTGGCAACAGTGGCGCACACAGTCCTAAAGAACCAGCTGAAATTCGCACAGTGTATGTAAATCAGACCTTAAATGTCTGATTTATACATGCTGTTTTAATAAATTATATCACAGAAAGAGAAGGCGCCGTTTCTTTCATGTCTTTTCATGTACTGGAGGATTTTCCTATCTGTGTATGATCACCCCCCTTCCTGGTGTAAAAGCATGCTAATGAAGATACCCTTTAGGATTTCTGATGGGCACCATCACCACGGAGGTTATGGTTAAAGGCTACAAACTGACAGGTGTTTTGACCCTTCCAACATTTTTTCTAAAACAATACAGACTAATGATTTTATAGCAGTTTCTTTATAATTATGAGGAACTGTAACTCAATCCATGATTATTCAGCAATGAGGAATGGCAACCAGCACTACAGGACTGCGGATACCATCAGTCCATGATTATACAGCAATGGAGAATGGCAACTGGCTATAGAGGACTGCAAATCTCAGCAATCAATGATTATTCAGCAATGGAGAATGGCAACCAGCAGTCATGGATTGCTGAGATTTGTAGAATTCTATAGCCAGTTGCCATTCTCTATCAAATCTTACCAAGGCTGCATTTGGGTCTCACCAGGGCTGCATTTGGGTCTTACCAGGGTTGCATGCAGGTCTCACTAGGGTTCCGTGCAGGTCTCACTAGGGTTACGTGCAGGTCTCACCAGGGTTGCATGCAGAACTCACCATGGCTGCATGCAGATTTCACCAGGACTGTTTTGGGGTCCAACCAGTGCGGCATTTGGGTCTCACCAGGGCTCTGCAGGTGGGTGCTGGGCTAAATGGGTGGGATCTGGGCCTGTGCCGGGCTCTGGGGCTGTACAGGCAGGTGTGGGGCTGCCATGTGCCAGCTCCGGGAAGTAGGAGGAGGCAATCTATGGCTGGACCGATACTGTCAAAGACAGCTGCCTGAGGTCCCCAGTAAGTAAGGGATATAATGCAAGCCAACCTTTAGCCAACTAAAACTCTAAAGGGACGGCATCTGCCTTCAGTATCAGAGCATTCTCATGAGTACATGAAAATGCCCTCTATCAGCACCAATACTAGTATCAGTATCGGGACATCCCTAGTGTTAGCTATACATACAATTTACCCACTTCCAAATGAGCATGGTACAGTACATCAGAATAAAATAGCTTCCCTTTCCAAACACTCAAGAACCATACCAAATGGATGAAAAGATCACCATGTTGTCACAGTAAGGGCAATGTAACCTTTACATAGCAAACATAAATATTCTTACTCAATCAATTTGTATTAATTTAACAAACATAAACAATTCACATAACACTTTGCAACAATCAGATCAGTGTCAAACCATGCTACAGGAGATATATACTTCTTTGCTATCAGGATGATTATCGGGATGAAATATTTATTTCTGATTACATCATCTATAACATAAAATATTAGGCATGCACCAATACTTTTCAGATACCAGTGCCGATACTTGGCATTTTCATGAGAACTACGAGGGTTGCAGAGGTTGCAGCTGGGACCTGGCTCTGGCACTCCGGCCCTTTCCGGAATTCATTACTTTTTATTGTTTTAGAAAAACTGTCACATGACAATAAACAAAAATGTATCAGTTCTCGTATCTGTGATGACTTGTGCAAGTATCAGTACTTGTACTCACAAAACTGGTATCGGTGCATCCCTGTATTTATATTTATAAAACCAAAATCATACATTAAAACAGAGATGTACAAATCCCAGGAGCTCGTGTGCTCCTTACAAATAACAGCCGCCTCCTAACTTTTGAGGTTTTCTCTAGTCTAGTCTTGGAGCTGGAAAAGTATCTGTACTTGTACCGAGTACGGTACTTGGTATCGGTGCATCCCTACAGTAAATAGTAATATATGGACTTCTACTCGGCCAAGTTATTCACCAAGTTGGCCTGTTCTGATCTCAATTTCTCCACTTCTAATTCTTAGGTTATTCCCAATAGTCTCCAGGTTACCCAGCTCAATGTCCCTAACTACCCCACAGTGCATAACCACACATACTACAAGACTAGAAAGAAGAAGAAGAAAAAAGAAAAAAATCCAAGCAAGACAAAGCAAATATGGACAGGGTCATTAAGGATTCTTAATGTTGGGCTGTAGTTTTTAGAAACAGATTATTTTATCATTTTATTATAGAAATAATAGAAGATTAAAGTTACAAAATCCCTGGAGCCACACAATGGGATACTCAGGGAATGAGACATATGTATTTTTGGAACTGTATAAAATGTTTGGATGTAAGGGGGCTCAAACTTCAAAAATTACATATGAATGGTTCCATCAGTGCATAGTTAGTAGATGTTAGTCAGTGACTTATATAGTAATATTAAATGTTTCATAACTCATCAGAATGGATTCCTCTTTACCACACCCTTGTATTTCTGTCTGGAAAATTCAGAATTATTATGCAAGTGACATTCATTCCCAGATGTAGATGGTGTGAGTATAGCAGCTGAAGCACATTTCTTTTTTCTTATGAGTTTGCCCAGCGAGATTTCCTTTCACCTATTACCCTAGCTGGAACTGGACTTAATTATAAAAAGAAACTTCAGTCTCTCTATCCAAATCATTATTTATTTTGGATTTTTCCTTACCATGACCCTATGACCTTCATATTTTAGGGTTTGACTTAAACAGCCCATTTCAAGCCATGTGTGAAAATTACGCACCTCGGCATGCAGACGCTTCTACAAACATTTGTGAAAGAATAGGTCACTCTCAGGAGCTCAGTGAATCCAAGCGTGGTACCGAAGTGGAAGCAACTGGGAACAACAGCAACTCAGCCACGAAGTTGTAGGCCACATAAAATGACAGAGATGGGTCAGCGCATGTCGAAGCGCACAGTGCGCAGAAGTCGCCAATTGTCTGCAGAGTCAATAGCTAAGACCTCCAAACTTTGAGTGTATAATATATATATCTATAGATAGATCTATATATATAGATCTATCTATATATAGATATAGATCTATAGATAGATCTATCTATATCTCTCTCTATATAGAGATATATCTCTATATAGAGAGAGATATATCTCTCTATATATATACACTTATTACACTTTTTTCATTATGGTGGATCTGGATCAGATCAGTAGAGACCTGGTCCAGCACTCCCAAGCAGTCCTGAAGCAACAAGCCACAATGGCAATGATCTGTTGCTGCAGTGGGAGACAGGATAGAGATGCTTTACATAGCAAGTACCATGATGCAGTAAAAATAATAATAATGATTTTTTTTCATTATTTTGATTCTCTACCAGACAAAAGTCTTTTGCTATTAGCCTCATGTAATCCCCTCTACAGCAGCAAACAGGAATGCTGGAAGAGAGAGGGGCAGCACTGTTAGGGAAGCAGGCTCAACTGCATTGCACAGTGTTGTGCGTCTAATACTGAGAGCTTCTTGAAAAGTAAAGGAAGCAAAGTGATGGTCATACCAGTGTGCTGTTTTTCCTATCTATGCACAGACAGACATGCCCACCCATATGATATAAGTGTGGATGGTTCTGTGCCAAAAGACCAGCCAGTGCGAATTGGACTTTAACTCTAAAAAGAGATGTCAGTCTCTGTCCCAATCATTTTTTATTATGGCTTCTTCCTTTCCATGACCTTCATCTTTCAGGGTTTGACTTAACCAGCCCATTTCAGGACACTCTTATAAAAACACTAATGTAGTTTGCTTTTTTTATTAAACCTGACAAATGAATCAGTTAGCCCAAATCCAAACTTAAAGTACTTTGGGTCAGTTTTTACAGCTGAGACATTTACTACATATTGCCGATTTCCTGAACAAAGCAATTACACTAAAAGACTAGCAAATGAATTCTTTGGACATACCCTGGTCGAAAATAAAGCACATACAGAAGTGGACTGGAAAGGACCCAAAGGACCCCATACTAGCTCACTTGATATTAGGAATCTATGGTGAATAACTCAACCAGTGAATTGGATTGTGGGTTCAGATATGACTAATCACCAGCAGATGAAATATAAATATAAAATATGAAATATAGATATCTCCTAAATATCTCATCACTAGTTTCTACTACACAAGTCATCAGCAAATAAAAACTCTACCGGATATGTTGGATATCTCCCCTTCTGGACATGTGATACACTCATAGCAGCATTTAAAAATTGAAGACCCAAACTTTTTTCTGGTACCAGGAACACAGGGACCTGAGCATCGAGATACCGGAACCTAAAAATAGAATATGTAAATCTGTGTTAAATAGCAAACCCTTAAGGCATTTCAAATAAATAGTGTCAAGTGTATTTAAATCCAAATACAAAAATGTAACATATTACAACTTACCAGTCCCAAAATGTGGTGACTGCATCAGTTTTTTTTCAGGCTTTGTTTTCTTTTTTTAACCTGGTGATCCTACCAGTAGAACACTTCCTGTCCTAGGGCGACGAGGTTCCCTCACCATACTGTATGATTGGAAGAGTAGAGTAGTCACCCTAGGCTGCTCTGCTTATTTGGAATACAAACACATCCCCCTCTCCTCATCTCAATGACACACACAGGCCCGGATTCCCCACAAGGCCACCAAGGCCCGGCCTCGGGGGGCGGCAGGGCGCAGAGGGGCGGCAGCGGTGTCCTTGCGGGGAAGTTGCCCTCCCTACATTCAGTCCTGCTTTGTACAAGCAGGACTAAGGGGTCTATTCACGAAGCTGCCGAGGGCAGCCGAGTGAATGACCGATCTGAAGTGAAGTGAGCCGAACACTGTTCGGCTATTCACTTCAGGCTGGTACGGCTAATTTCAGCCGTACATCGGCTTGTTTCGTGTGGCTCGGCCACGATCGGGAGCTGTACGGGCTATTGTGAATAGCGCGTACAGCATACAGTCCATGTACCCATTGCACTCCTGACCGCACGTCCAACAAAGTATCCTGGGAAAAAGGCCAATGGCCGCCCGCTCGGCCAGCTTCGGCTTTCAGCACGGCTCAGCCGAGCCGATGCATATGCGTTCGGCTCGGCTGAGCCGCTCGGCCATGATCGGGAGCTGTACGGGCTATTGTGAATAGTCCGTACAGCAGGCTCTCGGTTCGAATCAACCGATGGACTCCCGTAACCGAAGCTAGCCGAAGGATCGGCCGAAGCTATGGCTAGATCCTTCGGCAGATTCGTGAATAGACCCCTAAATGTAGTGTGAGGCAGCCGATTTTTCGTTTACATGTCATCTCGGCAATGTCGCCGAGATGACATGTAAACAGTGTGCAGCCTCCTCCCCTCCCCCCTGCACTTACCTCTCTCCTTTGGTTCCATCCTCCGGGCTCCGCCGCCGAGTCCGTCTCCTCACTGCAGTGAGCGGCAGGGTTAAAACTAACCCTGCCGCTCCGTGACAATGTCGCCGAGATGACATGTAAACAGTGTGCAGCCTCCTCCCCTCCCCCCTGCACTTACCTCTCTCCTTTGGTTCCATCCTCCGGGCTCCGCCGCCGAGTCCGTCTCCTCACTGCAGTGAGCGGCAGGGGTAAAACTAACCCTGCCGCTCCATGTAGACTGTAGACAGTGAAAAGGGAGAGCTGTACTCTGCCTCTCTCACCTGTCACAGGAGTTCCAGCTCAGTGCTGTGCTAGGACTCCGCTATTGGAGGTGACAGGGTCAATAAAGAGAACCTGTCACCTCAAATTGCTATACGGACAAACACAGAGGTGTATTTCACAAAAGTATTGTCAGAGGTTTCAGCTCAAGTTTCCTTGTATAGTCCAGTGCACTGATTTCTAAAAAGATCC